GAGCACTGGATTTGTAACTAAAGAATATCTTAGAGGTTAAGATTTTGTTATACTAATTTCAGGTCAGGGCCCATGTCCATTAATAGCAAAAACAGGCTAAGGAAGAGGAAGGAAATAAACAAAGAAAAGCAAAGAAAGAGAAAAATGAAAATATAAACATAAGGTATTGCAAATAATATACATTTTTCAGTACATAAAAATTAAGAGTAAATTCTCAAGGACATTTTTCTCACCAGTCTCAAAAACTGTTGAATTTTCAGACATTGTGATAAGAACAATTAAAACATAACAAAGTGTTTTGTGGGCAAAATGAATTTTTAAAGAAGATTAAAGAACATCTAGTCAGGGCATATTTCCTTAAGAATAAACCTGTTTATTTAAAAAATTATATTTCTGTTGCATATAGAGCTTGCATTGGTATTTTCTGGTACAGTTACCTGTAGGAATCATTTTCACAGTACACTTAAGTTTTTCAGATGCCTTACCTGTCATTCTACCAAAACAACAAACCATGCTTAAAAGGGAAATGTGATAGCAATTATAGGTGGCAGTTACTCCCCAGATTGACTCAGAAGTAGTTTTAACAATAGTACATGTTTTAAATAGTAATGTCTGAATAGTACTAGCTAGATGAAATGCATTTAAATACTCTCCACTTTGTTTATATTATAGATTAGTTATAAAAGACTTCTCAAAAGCTACATTCTTCAAGAGGTTACTACATACGTGCTGGAAGGATGAAGAGAACTCACTGTTTGAAGGAGACATTCTGATTGTGTGTGTGTGCATGCATGCGTGCGTGTGTGTGTAAATAGTAGGGGCAAATATAGGTAGTGTGTGGGAAAGCAGAGATTATATGACATTAAAGGAATCAATCAGAGAAAGTTGTTTTTTAAAAAAATATTACATATGCCATTTCTTTTTGTAAGCCTTTCACCAGTGTATACATGCAATCAGTGAGCCAACAAAAATTCATAACATGGCCTCCAAATTTATGTCAGTGGAGATCTCAAACTATAGCTTTGTTACATTCTTAAGTGGAGATCTCAAATTATAGCTTTGTTACATTCTTAAGAGATCCTTCATAATTTTTAGAAACAAATGTACTATTACTGATAAATGATTCACTCTTCACAGGCAAAAAGAAATGGAATCATGAAGTCCTTTGTTTTAAGACTGAAAATCTTGAAAACTTCTTTTTTCATTTTTGCTGATCTATTTGATCTGACAAGACTACCTAGTCAACTGTATATGAAAATACACGCATACATACACAACACACACATGGATGCAAATGTATGAAAAGCAAGATTTAAGCCTCTTGGAGCTACTTGTCGTACTTCCAGACAACTAATTATAAGAATTAAATTTTGTGAAAGTCAATGAAAAATCCATTTCTTTGGCCCCAGTCACCACATGAAAGGTGATTTGTTTCATGACCATTTTCATTATTATCTGAATACTGCTTTATTTAAAACTCTGTCTACAGTCAGGAAATGAACAGTCTGTCCCTAGGTAGCTCTCTATCTTATGTCAAGACAGAAGAAAAATTACTTTCCAGGAAATCAGCTCTATCTGTATCCTGATGTCAAGTTTCACTATTATATTTTTGAATGGCCCAATTTCCTCTTTTGTTTTCTTTCTTTTGGTAATATAATGTAGTTACATGAAGAATTATTTATTTATTTATTTATTTGTGTTGAATCAGTCACAATCTCACTAAACTAGGTATGTCAATACTTCCTGCATACCTTAGTTCCTTGTTTCTGTGAGAATTCCATAAATTGTCTCGTATTTCTATAATTTTTTTCAAACATATTGGTTTTACAGCTATTTAAATATATTTTCTATGGGCTATCTGTTTTCTGGGTACCCTTTTTAAGGGCCAGAAAGGATTAATCAGGGTTGCAGAATCTCCACTAGCTTGCTTGAGAGTTAGATAATTTTATGAATTCCCACAGCACTTCATATGCACATATTCTCTATTAGACTGAAGCAGTCTGAAGGCAAGGAAGGATCAAATTGGTTTCATCTGAGGATTCCCAAGGCTTTGCTAAATAAAGACATCAAATTTTTTATAGACAAAGCGAATAAGCAGAAAAAGAAAGGAAAGGAAGAAAATAGATTTTTTTTTAACCTCACTTGAAGTTAATTGAAGCTTTAACAGCCTGAATAGCAGTGGTCATTTACTCATTTTTCTTTCACTATCTGCTTTTGGTCAGTCTTACAGATAATCAAATAGATTTATGTATAGACCGTGGCACTGATGGAACATTGTTTTCACCTGTGTTCACAACACACCTATCAATAGAAGTAAACTGACCCAAGTGAGGGGCCATGGCATGCCATTTCTGTTCATTTTATAAGTTTAAAAACAATCAAAGTTTAAAAAATTAAAAATATCAGCAATCTTCCTTGTAAATAAAATAATTCCTTGGTTTGGTATATTGCAGAACATTCTCAGTCATACAGAATTTATCATATGAAAATAGATAAGCTTATATTGCATTCAGGTAAATACCTACATTGCATACAGAGGACATTCGTTTCTTTCATACATTTGGAAGGTGACAGATGAGCGCACAGTCCAATTTTATCGATTTTCTTAAATCAGAAGCACCTGTTGACACACGCTACAGCTATGCAGTTTTGGTAAGAGAATGTGTTTTCTCTCTCTGAAATAAAACCTCACCAGTGCTGGAAGTGAATGCCGTGTGAACGGGATGGATATAACAGAAGAAGGAAAATCAGAGTATTAAAGAAAAGACCTGGATCCATTTCTCTAGGGACTGCTTTTCTAGGGAGTAATAAAAAATAATGAAGTAAAGACGTGGTTAAAATGTTTTTGCCTTTTCTCAAGTGCAAAATAAACTGTATATCATGTGGGACAGGAATTAGAAACAAAAGCAAAACCACCATTCTACATTTTGTTCTGAAAGACTTAGGTTACAGCATTGATTAAAGGTACCTGGTTACCTTGGTGGATCCCAAGATCCCAGTTATATCTTACAAATAACATAGCCACAGATGTACACAGGTGGACTTAAGAGCTTTCCTTGGCTCAGACACGGCAAGGTGATGTTCACCTGGGGCTTTTAATCTCTGTTCCAACTCTAGACATTTCCTGAGCGGAGATGAGTCAGTGATTGACTGACTTTGCCTACAAAGAGAACCCCAAGTAGGTGTCGGCAGAGTAATTTTCTTCTGTAAGTTTATGAAACAACCGCGTTAGTATGATTTCCCTACAGAAAGCCCAGTCAAAGGTAACAGAAGTGGTTTGTGCTTCAACCTCTCTAAATGATTTGCAAATTTATTCAAACACAATACGAGGAGATGCTTTATTTGCTGCAATAACTGTCTGCAGTGTCCTGCCCAAAAGGGTGAGGTACATCAAGCAGAAACATGGACACAAATACATTGGTTTAGAAACTCATAAATCCTTATTTGAGTCTGCCAACCTGAAAGCCATGTAGAGCTGGAATAAACTATTTTTCGTAAATGCTACATCTGATTAAGCATACTGTTAAATGACAGCTGAACTTTAACATTAATATGATATTATTTAAATAACCGCATGATTTTTTTTTTACACTAAAAATGATGAATGATTTCTGGACAGCTCAATTGACATAATGCAGAAAGACTCTTTAATGAGATTTGACAAAATGGAGACTATGCAGAATATTCGTTTCAGCTCACATCGCAGGGGCCCTCCCAGCGAAGCAAAAGAGGTTTTTCCTTTTTTTTTCTTTTTTATTGTCTATAGGCGCTGAAGCATTTCTCTCAATCACCACTTCTCTGTGGATTTTGAGTTTTTCTGGATCGTTCACATATTATTTTTAATCAGAGAATTTGGTGGCTTATGGCTCTGAATTGGGACTGTGCATGTGGGCAAAGGAAGGGCATATGGACCTAGGTCAGTGTTGGTTGGAAGTGTCCTGGGAACTTGAGGCTTGCTCCTGATTGGCCTGATGGAGAAATCACATCAGCCTTGGAGACGAAGTAGCCATACTTTTGTTTGGCTCTTATGTCATCCATCTCTAGCACAGCAAACATGCTTTTAGCAAATTATTACATAGGGATACATGGTCAGAGAAGGCTTACTTATTTTAAAATAGCTGTCTCTGAGGTATCAATGGAAAACAAGATTTTCTTCTTTAAAATTCCACTTAAGCTGTTCTAGAGAAGATTCTCAACATTCCTCACATTTCTATCCACAGTTCCAAATTGAAGGCTATGCTACATGATACTCTTATTTGGTAGATTCTGAATGCAAAATACTTCTATGCTGAATAAATGTAAGGAAAACACAGCTCCAATTTTCAGAATACTACAAACTTTCCTCACTCCCTTCCAAAGAAGACAGAATATGAACGATTACTTACATGCATTCATTTATTTTCACATACTCTCCCGAATTTTTTCCATCAAAGGTTAGTTTCACATCTCAAACATCAACATTTGTTTGCCTGCACATGTGAATTCAGATTATTCAGATAACCTCTAACTTGTAAAAATCATCTGTAAGTATACATAAAATCGAAATGTTTCCCCAATCAGGCTTCTATTAAAAAAAGAATGAAAACAAAGCAACAGAAAGCAAAGCTAAAACAAAGTGTGCTCCTGATACCAGCAGGCCTGCATTCCCTCTATAAGGAGGAGGCTATCAAAATAGAGAGTAATATCAGCGTGCTCCTGCCATGGGGCCTTCCTCAGGCTATGAAAAATACTTCATGTCTAACCCTAATTTTTTCCATAGCTTGAGGTAACCCCCTAGCTCAAACCTTCTCTGTAATCTAAGTTACTCAGTATGTGTTCCTGTCCAAACAAGAGTAAATATCGGTGCTCTGTCATTTCAAAAGGGTCTTGACACACAGGGTACTAAGAGCAGAAGCTCACATGCCTGGGAAAATGCCCAGTTGCAACTAGATGAAAAATATAGTTCAAAAAAACAAAAAAAAAACAGAAAAGAGAAAGATAGGTCCCTACCTTGCTCTTACCTTCGCAACATCCCTGTCAGAACTCTGGAGCTTTTCCCCAAGTTAGCATCTGTTTCTCGAAGCTAGGAGGAAAAAAGCAGCATTAAAACAAAACAAAACAAAACAAAACAGAATTAAACTTCATGCAAATGGATTATTTTTAAAGTGCACTGGCAGGCAATAATTTTCTTTCATGAAAGAAAATCCAATTCATAAAAAGTACTTAGAGACACTTAAAATATATTTTGACATGTATGCAATCTCTGAAAATTCTTAGGTTTAGAATTAGATGTAACAGATAATCCCAGGAGCTTTAAACTGGATACTTGAACTGGATATAAAAGCAAACACCTCACAGGCTGACAAAGTTTAATATTATCTGGTGATCAATCTCCAATTTATGAATGTATAAAGTCCTAGTAATATAAACAGAAAGGAAATGAACTAAGAGAGGATGAGGCATCATTATTTTTATAGCTGTCACTCTGAAAGACTTGACACTCCAAAACCTCCCTCAATGACCTTCTTTTCAGTTGTAGAGCTAAATAAAATATCTACCTGGGGGCATTCAGGGGTGGAGATTTAAAGTCAGTTTATTCTTTGTTCATTCCACACTTTTTTTTCTCTCCCTAGACTCTATCCCTCCTTTGTTCTGGCCATTTTTATGTATACTTACATCTGTTAACTGTCTATGCAAGTACCAAAGACCTTTTATTTCATGTCATCATTTTCTGAATTTGTGAAGAAACTGTATCAGTCTACTTACTCTTTCACGTGCTCGCTGTATCTTTTCTCTGTCATGACTGAGGTTTTCCAACATCTCCTGGCCAATTTGCTCTGTGAAAAGGGAATTTGAGTAAGGAAAGATGTACAAAGTATTTATGTATGTATAAAATAAATGTATAAAAAGTCCTTTATAAATTTACCTATTTATCTTAGGTATATCAGATGTGATTTAAAATTCAACCTATATAGATGATGTATGTGGCAATAATGAATTAAAGGTGATATGACTTGCCCAAGGCCACTTCAGATTATTATTAGCCAAGATGAAGAGCCCAGATCCAGTGATGTTTCTATGGAGTTTCTATGGGGTGTATCATCATGGAATTCAGCCTTTGGTTTTTACAGGTTATAAATAATGTGAATGATTCTATTCTACCTTCCCTACTGCATTACCACATTGTTTTGCATGTGTAAATGAAACTCCATCTAGAACAATTTTGACTGTAGTGTATTTGTCCCACATAAATAGTCTTCATACTTTCAACTCCTGCAGCTTATTGGTACTGGAATTGTCTCTAGACTTCTCCTATCTTGGATCAAGAGTTCATTCAGTGTGGTCCCAGTTGCAGGAGTCGGTGAGGTGCACTCCTTAACAGTTAGCTGAGAGCTCAATCTGAACACAGAACTTCCAAGCCTTTATACTGGCACAGGCAGGTCAGGACATTCATTAAAAAGCCACACTGCTGAGTCCCAGTGAGGATTTGCGCTGTCCTGATTATCCAGTTGGTTGGCACTGGTCAGCTCTCCTCTGACTGCAGATCCTTTTACAACACTGTAGGGGTATGTCTTGACCTGACAAATACTCAGCTGTCTTGAATAATTTCTTTCTCAGGCTCATTGTCCATCACCTGGGAGGTAGCTTATTATATAATAGAAGAATGACAATTACCTCTCTTGTAATCTTGGCAACTCAACCTGTTTGAGTAACTTATTTTACATTTTTTCTTTTGTTTTTCTCTCTTGCATTGTCTCTTTACCCATAACTGATAACAACAATCATCTCTGGCTTACAAATTTATAGAAACAGTCAACAGGCATTTATTATAAAATAGAAATAATGTAATAAGGCCATTAAGAAGTCACCATGATAGCTATTTGGCTTATGTATACACCAACTTTTTAGAAGGGCATCCTAAAAACTGTAGAGCGGTGGTTAGGCCTTATTGAGAGCTTAGGCTGTGAACTCTCAGTGCTTGAGGGCTGTTACAGAGGTTAAATAAGATAATTCAGTTAAAATACTTAGCACAGTGACTGGCCTCTAACAATATAAGCATTTATTGAGTGATGATGACTGATCAAAAAACAATGGACAGTTTTGACCTTGACCCCCTACTATCCTAGTCTGCCATAACCCACTTGAAATCAATTTTATTCATAGGATAAAATATCTCTCCTACCTTTCTCACAAAATTGTTGTTACTATCAAATGAAATAAGCTCGGTAAAAATGTTATGAAAGCTATAGGGTACCATACAAATGCAGGTAGCCCATGAGAATCAGTGCATTCAATGAAAAATCTTTGAGTCCCTCTTCTGTGCCATGTGTTGATGCTGGAGACATGGCCAGTAAACAAGATGAAGCTCTTGCACTCACAAACTTCTGTGATAATAGTGAAGATTTAGTAGTTAAAGGGCAAATGTTACATTAGAGTTTGTATTTCATGGCACACCAGAAAAAAAATTTTTATGATAGAAAAAAATCCAAGTTATAAACAATACTTAAATATGGATTTGATATCTATATAAACTCTGATAATTCTTTCTAGTATAGTACCTTCCTAGTATAGAATCTCCTTTCATACTGACCTTGGCTTTTTATTAACTCCATACAGTTTGTCTTTAAGGTAAAAATAGACATGTGGTTTCCAGTAGAGGCATCATAAAAGTGGAAGATGATATCAATAACAGAGAAGGAAGAAATAACTAGAGTTGGATTTTTTTGTATAATATTCATTTTGTCATACTATTAGCTATTGCCATTACATTCAATTCCTTTAGTCAACATAATATAGTAATTTTAATTCATTTTTAACTTAAAATCTCTAAGATCTATGAACACAATCAATATTGTAATTACTTCAGCAAAATGCTATCTATATATTTTCTCCTATCAAGATTGATGGCATAATATACAATCTCAGACAAATAGGAAATAGGTTATTACCACTGTGTCTGTCATCAGCATAATGTTTCAGTAAGTATTCATGGAAGAAATAAAGCAATGAGAGAATGAAATAAAGTGAAAAATGGAGTATGAAAAGTCTGTGATTTATTCCTGCTCTCAAAGCGTATTAGGTGTGACACTGGAGAAGTCAACATTGGAATGCAGGTAGTAGATTGACAATTCTATTGGGTTTGCTAGGGGAAAATCTCTTCTGAATGGATCTATGATCTGCTACTGAAGGAATCAATGGAAAAAGAGGTACAGAACTCAAACCTTTTCAGGACTTGTAAATCACTCCCTCAATCTCCTTTCCTTCTGGGAAATATCTCAGTGTCTGAAGTACTAACCCCACTAGCAGGAAACAAGATATTGGCAAGAGTGCATAGACCTGGTCCTAACACAAGAACGCCATGTATTTGTTGGAAATAGAATACTCTTTTCAGGTTTTACTTGCTACTTTCAATTTGAATATCCCAATAAGAAAATTTGAGGCCATACATATTAGAAATGCTCATGCTAATGGAATGAAAAAAAAGAAAATCTCATGCAAAGAAAGTTATGCATGGTTTTCTCAATGTGTTTCCCTACCTCAATCAAAACAAAACAAGACAACAAATTAGAAGGGGATTATTTTAAATAGATTATCCTTGGTCACAATAATATTAGACATTTAGGGATTATCTCATTTAAAAATTAGTAACATTGTTAGGTTTACATTTCTTGAATAATTTAAGATATAAGCACTTACTAAAAACATCAATAAAGGAAGAATAGAAGCTCATAGACTAAGCCAAAGCAGACGTGATGTACTGAGTGCCTTTAAACTTTCATAGTGCCTTTAGAAGGGGATATAGCCTATTGAATTAACCTGTATTGAAATAATTCAAAAAATCATAAATTTTATAAATGCTGCACTTATTGACTGTGAGGATCTTCTACCTTCCCTACTGCATTACCACATTGTTTTGCATGTGTAAATGAAACTCCATCTAGAACAATTTTGACTGTAGTGTATTTGTCCCACATAAATAGTCTTCATACTTTCAACTCCTGCAGCTTATTGGTACTGGAATTGTCTCTAGACTTCTCCTATCTTGGATCAAGAGTTCATTCAGTGTGGTCCCAGTTGCAGGAGTCGGTGAGGTGCACTCCTTAACAGTTAGCTGAGAGCTCAATCTGAACACAGAACTTCCAAGCCTTTATACTGGCACAGGCAGGTCAGGACATTCATTAAAAAGCCACACTGCTGAGTCCCAGTGAGGATTTGCGCTGTCCTGATTATCCAGTTGGTTGGCACTGGTCAGCTCTCCTCTGACTGCAGATCCTTTTACAACACTGTAGGGGTATGTCTTGACCTGACAAATACTCAGCTGTCTTGAATAATTTCTTTCTCAGGCTCATTGTCCATCACCTGGGAGGTAGCTTATTATATAATAGAAGAATGACAATTACCTCTCTTGTAATCTTGGCAACTCAACCTGTTTGAGTAACTTATTTTACATTTTTTCTTTTGTTTTTCTCTCTTGCATTGTCTCTTTACCCATAACTGATAACAACAATCATCTCTGGCTTACAAATTTATAGAAACAGTCAACAGGCATTTATTATAAAATAGAAATAATTTAATAAGGTCATTAAGAAGTCACCATGATAGCTATTTGGCTTATGTATACACCAACTTTTTAGAAGGGCATCCTAAAAACTGTAGAGCGGTGGTTAGGCCTTATTGAGAGCTTAGGCTGTGAACTCTCAGTGCTTGAGGGCTGTTACAGAGGTTAAATAAGATAATTCAGTTAAAATACTTAGCACAGTGACTGGCCTCTAACAATATAAGCATTTATTGAGTGATGATGACTGATCAAAAAACAATGGACAGTTATGACCTTGACCCCCTACTATCCTAGTCTGCCATAACCCACTTGAAATACAATTTTATTCATAGGATAAAATATCTCTCCTACCTTTCTCACAAAATTGTTGTTACTATCAAATGAAATAAGATCGGTAAAAATGTTATGAAAGCTATAGGGTACCATACAAATGCAGGTAGCCCATGAGAATCAGTGCATTCAATTAAAAATCTTTGAGTCCCTCTTCTGTGCCATGTGTAGATGCTGGAGACATGGCCAGTAAACAAGATGAAGCTCTTGCACTCATAAACTTCTGTGATAATAGTGAAGATTTAGTAGTTAAAGGGCAAACGTTACATTAGAGTTTGTATTTCATGGCACACCAGAAAAAAAAATTTTATGATAGAAAAAAATCCAAGTTATAAACAATACTTAGATATGGATTTGATATCTATATAAACTCTGATAATTCTTTCTAGTATAGTACCTTCCTAGTATAGAATCTCCTTTCATACTGACCTTGGCTTTTTATTAACTCCATACAGTTTGTCTTTAAGGTAAAAATAGACGTGTGGTTTCCAGTAGAGGCATCATAAAAGTGGAAGATGATATCAATAACAGAGAAGGAAGAAATAACTAGAGTTGGATTTTTTTGTATAATATTCATTTTGTCATACTATTAGCTGTTGCCATTACATTCAATTCCTTTAGTCAACATAATATAGTAATTTTAATTCATTTTTAACTTAAAATCTCTAAGATCTATGAACACAATCAATATTGTAATTACTTCAGCAAAATGCTATCTATATATTTTCTCCTATCAAGATTGATGGCATAATATACAATCTCAGACAAATAGGAAATAGGTTATTACCACTGTGTCTGTCATCAGCATAATGTTTCAGTAAGTATTCATGGAAGAAATAAAGCAATGAGAGAATGAAATAAAGTGAAAAATGGAGTATGAAAAGTCTGTGATTTATTCCTGCTCTCAAAGCGTATTAGGTGTGACACTGGAGAAGTCAACATTGGAAT